GCAAGTTCAGGCTGAAGCTGAAGAAAATTAAAACAAGTCCATGAGAGCCAAAATACGACCTTGAAGATGGAAGGAATACACAGAGTCGCTGTACCAAAAAGAATGCTCAATGTTCAACTGTCATAAGATCAAGAATTAATGGTACTGAAGAAAGAAGTCCAAGCTGCACTGAAGGCATTGGCAAAGAACAAGTCTCCAGGAATTGATAGAATACAAATTGAAATATTTCAACAAACTGAGGAAGCACTGGAGGCACTCACTCAATTATAGCAAGAAATTTGGAAGGCAGCTACCTGACCAACTGAGTAAAAGAGCTCCATATCTGTGTCCATTCTGGAGACAGGTGACCCAACAGATTGCAGAAATCGGTCAATTATCACTAATACCATATGCAAGTAAAATTTTACTCAAAAGAATTACAAAATGGCTACATTACATTGACAGGGAACTGCCAGAGGTTCAAGCTGGATTCAGAGGAGGACGTGGAAGGAGGGATATCATTGTTGACATCAGAAGATCTTGGCTGAAAGTAGAGAATATCAGAAAGATGGGTATCTGTGCTTAATTGAATATGCAAAGACTTTTGATTGTGTGGATCATGACAAGCTGTAGACAACATTGTGGAACATGTGTATTCCAGAATACTGAACTCTGCTCATGAGGAACTGTACACAGACCAAGAGGCAGTCATTTGAAGGGAACATTGAATGGCTTAAAATTAGGAAAGGTGCACCAGGATTGTATTCTTTCACCATACTTATTCAATCTGTATACTGAGCAAATAATCCAAGAAGCTGGATTATATGAAGAAAAATACGGCATCAGGATTGGAGGTAGACTCATTAACAACCTGTGAGATGCAGATGATCCAACCTTGCTTGTTGAAAAGGAAGAGCACTTAAAATACTGACAAAGAACACAGCCTTCGGTATTGGTTGCCCTTCAATGTAAAGAAAACAAAAATCCTCACCACTGAACCAATAAATAACATCATGATATATTAAGATAAAATTGAAGTTGTCGAAGATTTAATTTTACTTCAATCAACCATCAACACTCATTCAAGCAGCAGCTAAGAAATCAGACGATGTATTGCATTAGGCAAATCTGCTGCACAAGACCTTTTTGAAGTGTTTAAGAGCAAAGATGTCAGTTTGAGGACTAACATGTGCCTGACCCAAGTCGTGGTATTTCAATAGCCTCCTATGCATGTGAAAGTTGGACAGCGAATAAGGAAGACCATAGAATTGATGCATCTGAGTTATGGTGTTGAAGAACCATGGACTGCTGGGACAACAAATTTGTATTTGAAGTAGTATTCAGAATGCTCCTTGGAAACCAGGATGGTATCTTAGACTTTGGATATATTATCAGGAGAGACCAGTTCCTAGAGAAGGAAGTCATGCTAGGTAAAGTAGAAAATCAGCAAAAAAAAAGGAAGGCCTCCAATGAGATGAATTGGCACCATAGCAGCAACAGTGGGCTTAAGCTTAACGATCGTGAGGATGGCTCAAGACAGCGTTTTGTTCTGTTGTGCATAAGGTCGCTGTGAGTTGGAATGGACTCAACAGTCCCTCACACCACTCAGTATGGTCAAAATAGAATTTATGTTCATTCTTGTTTCTCATCTCACCACCAACGGTGTAGTGTTTGAGCAGAAATGAGGACATTACCCTTTACACCTCCCCTCCTCCATGTCCAGTTCATCACCAAATCCTGCTAACTTTATCCCCAGATAACTTTGTCCATTTCTTACCATCCCCTCTACCGTGAAACCTGGAACTCAATGGGATACCTTGAGTTTCCTGGTCTTGCAAGACCTCTGCCTTTGACAGGGTGCAGTCTTACTAATTTTTTATTTTAGTGAAGAATATTTTTTCCTTCTCTGCCAGGTTTCTGCCTTACACAATTCTGTTTTTTGCAGCTTTTACTGTTTTATTGTGTAGTCCAAGTCTCCATCACCTCTCACCGACCTTCCTCTAATCTGCTCTCCATACTATAGCTATGATCTTTGCAGAATGCAAATCTGGTCATGTTGACCCCTGCTTAAAACCCATCAACAGCCTCCCTTGGCTCTGAGAATAATGACCAAACTCCAAGGGATCCTTCTGGATCATGTCACCACACTTGCCCCCTAGACTGTTCAGCTGTGTTCTTTAAGTGCCATCAAGTCAGTTTTGACTCATCATGTCCCCTGTATAGGGTTTTTGAGGAGAAGCTGGCAAGCTTGAACCACTGACCTTGCAGTTCAAAGTGACCTTGCAGTCCAGTGCATTAACCCGCAGCACCACACCAGGACTTCTTACATTCTCTCAAACACTATATTCCTTCATGCTACAGGAGACTTGCATGTGCTTTCCTTTCTAGATAGAATTCTGCTGTCCAATACAGAAGGCTCTAGTCATCTGTGGGTACTGAGCACTTGAAATGTGGCCAGTGCAACTGCAGAACCGAATAGTTAATGTTGGTTTTAATCAACATTTCTTGTTTTAAAAACTAATCATTCAATTCCAATAATGGAAAACAGTAAATATGCTTGGGACAAGCTGAATATGTGAAATTTCTTTCATAGTTCTAATTTATATGAAACCTACTGCGAACCTTAAGGTCAGCAGTTCGAAACTACCAGCCGCTCCGTGGGAGAAAGATGAGGCTTTCTACTCCTGTAAAGATTTACACCCTTGAAAACCCTGTACAGGGTCGGAACCGACTCGATGGCACTTCACAACAACCAAAAAAATATATCTTATGTGTGTTTCTGGTCACAGTTTAGTGTCTGAATCAAAATATGCTGTAAGTGTAAACATATACACAGAATGTTGACGAGATGATTCAAAAAATGTAAATGATCTCATTTTTATAATGATTACATGTTGAACTCTAGGTGTGGTGCTAGAAGGATCAGCACTGGATGTGAACAACAAGGTCAGCAATTCAAACCCACCAGCTGCTCCTTGGAAACCCTATACAGGGTTGCTATGAGTCAGAACCAACTCGATAGCACTTAACACATGTTGAAAGGTAATGTCTTACATATATTTGGCTAAGTAAAAATAAAGTTTAACTAGAAAGCATTATATATGTGGCTCAAATTCTATGTCTATGAACAGCACTGGTCTAGAAAGCTGTTCCTTTTCTTTGTCCTAACTCTTCATCCTTTAGAGCCTGGTCTCAAATATCATCTCCTCTCCAAAGAGTACCTGAAAGAAAGCCTTATTTGTTTTATTCACTTTCATAGCTATGTGTGTGTGCTAGTGGTTGCTTGCTTTTAATTCCACCCATTTGTTGTTACACATTTGTTTGCATGACTACCAGATTCTTGCCTGTCTTTCTCATCAATCTCTAAATTCCGTGTGGGCAGGGCCCAGGTCTATCTGGCTCTTCCTGGGAACCAAACACCCAGTCTTCTGGCACATGAAGCTGCCAATGGGCACCAGAATGCCATAAAAGGCCATTCCATCCCCTGCCCTGTCTTTGGGTAGGACTGTTCCCAACCCATCTGAGACAGCCACAGGACTCCCCAGTCCCTAAGAGTGCTACCATATCTCCTTAGTGTTTAGACTCTACCTCCCCCAGATGAAGATCCTCCTTTATAATGGCCCAGAATCACTGACTGCAAGCTGATCAAGGACATCTTCCATCCTTAGATGAAATTGATTCAACAGCACCTAATAACCAGCTTCTAGATCATAGTGACCCCATGAGAGAGAGTAGAACGGATCCATGGAGCTGCTAGGCTGCAATGCTCACAGAAGCAGCTCACCAGGTCTTTTTCCGGCAGAGTGGTTGTGTGGGTTCAAAGTGCCAGCCTTCCAGTTAACAACTGAGCACTTACCCATTGTGCCACCAGGACTCCTGGATGGAAACTTCTTGTTGTGTGCCAAGTTGATTCTGACTCAAAGCAACCTTCTAAGACAGAATCGAACTGCCCCATAAGGTTTCTTAGGTTGTCATCTTTATGGGAACAGATCCCCAGATCTTTTCTCCCATAAAGCAGCTGGTGGGTTCAAACCTCTGACCTTCCAGTTAGCAGTGGGCCATTTAACCATTGCACCACCAGGGTTTCTTTCAATGGAAGCTTAGAGGTAATTCATTAGAGCAACACTTCTCAAACTTTGAAGTTTGTTTTTTAATGCAGACTCTGGTTCATTAGGTCTGGGATGGGACCCGAGGACCTCATTTGTAACAAGCTCTCCAATGGTAGCATCATCCTGGTCCATAGACCACACTATAAGTAACAAGGATGTAGAGAATGTATTAGCACTCTCAAGCGTTCCCAAGGTCTTCTTCCTGTCAAAGAGGCCATTAGGAGTCTCTTGATATTCCAGCCCTATTCCTTCTTGCTCCCTCCCACCATATGTGGCCCGCCGATCCCTGTACCCTGAAAAGGAATGTGGTGCCTGTGGCTACTGTTGTCTTGGCACAATTTTCAGAGTCAGGACAGCCCGGTGTGTACCAATGATGTGTAACATATCCTCTCCAATGATAAGGTGACACAGCTAGAGATGCTGAGGAGGGCTGTATGGTGGCTTCTGCTGGGGCTCCAGCAGTCCTCAAGCTTTGGCTCCTATCTGCTGCACCAGCCAATTCCATCAGCTCCTCCAGAAAGTGCCCACTCTGTCACGCTTCAGCCGGGTTGCTTGTGTCCACTGAGAACATTTTAAACCAATCTTGTGCTGCTAAGCCTTGGCCTCTCCGACCTTTTCACATGGTGATGTTCAAGGATGGAAGTTTCTTCCCCGTGGTCTGGAGAGAGGGTGAGTATACACACACGTGTACATGTACGTGTAGTTACACGTTTGGACATGGACTTGTCTATGTATGTGTGTGTGTCTATGTATGTTTGTTTATCTGACATGGAGTGGAGCTTGCACACATATGTATGTGTGTATGCATGGTGTGTGTACAAGTACATGTTGCCCCACTGGCACAGTAAAGCTTTCATCACATAGAGCAGTTCTGGACTCTTTCTGCATGGGCCTGGAGGCTGCACATGGTCACTAGGTGGGCCCTGAAGATGTGACTGGCCCCACTGTCCCTTGATCCTGCTGCTGTTGCTGCCCCTTGCGTCTCCGGGAGCCAGCGCCAGCCTCCTTGCTCTCCTTCCTGTTCAGGTTCCTGTTGGCGTTCTCCCGCCGGCCCTGGCCTCCCTTCCTCCTCTTCTGCCCTGCAACCTCAACAGAAGGAAGAATCAACAAAGGATGCCCTACCGAAAGCAGGGAGGCCCTGGGCATGGCCAAGGGCCCTAGGAGGGGTTTGAGGAGGAAACTGGGAGGGGCAGAGAGGCAGCCTGGAGATACTCCTTTAGACAGTCAGGGTCACCTCAAGACTTCTCTGACCAGCAGCCACTTCTAAGGATACTGCAGCCTGAGTTTTGAGAGGGAAATCTTGAGAACCTTTTTACCCTACACCTCTCAAATGCACATCAGAATTCTCCTCTCTCTCATGTCGTCCTCAAAGCTTGATCTCAGGAGTTCAGTGCAGCTCTCAGGACAAACCCCATTGCTCCACCCTTTACCAGACTCGGCCATCTGGGGCCAGGAAAGGAACCATAACCACCTCATTGCCTACTGCAGGCTGTGCGGCCTTGGTCAAGTCAGTACACCTCTCCTGCACCCCATCTACTCTCCAAGGGCCCTTCTAGCTTTATCTCTGTGGACTCAGAAAAACGGAGAGCTGGGGAGGCATTGACCACAAAGGCTGTCAGAGTGACACTGCTCTCTGCCAGCACAAGGTACATGACTTGGACAGCAATGGGTCCTGGGTTGGGGTCTCCCCATTGCAGGCCTCTCTCCCATCAAAGGGAGGCCCTGCTCTGAGGCCCTTTTCTGGGCAATATGCGGGAGGCCTGGGTAGTCTGGTACCTATGGCTGGCGCCTCATCCCTGAGCCCTAAGGGGTGGAGGCTGAGGCTCACCTTCAGGACACGGTATCCTCCGCACTGTGCACCTGCGAGTCTCCTTGGTGTCGGAGCAGATGGCATGGTCACCGGCAGGAGCATGGAGCACCCTCCTCGTCCGCTCTTCAGAGCCCCTTCGGAAACCACAGAGCTTCTTCTTCTTGGAGCACAGTCCCCATGGGGACCACTCACTCATTTCACATTGTGCTGGCAGGGAGGGAGGAAAGATGAGGGGGAGAGTATCACATCTCCTCACCTGGCCCAGGGCCGCCTCTTTCCTACCTGCTCTTGGCTTGGGCCTTTAACTGGAGATCTCTTTATCCCCCAAACCAAAAACCAAACCAGTTGCCACTCAGCAAATTCCAAGTCACAGTGACCCCAGGTGTGTTAGTGTAGAACTGTGACCCATAGGGTTTCCATCTATGCCTTTAGAAAGAAGATCACCAGACTTGTCTTCTAAGGTACCTCTGGGTGGGTTGGGACCACCAACCTTTAGCTATTAGTTAAATACTTAGCCTTTTGGGCCACCCAGGGAAAGTCCAGAAAAGCCAGAGAGAAACCCAGGAGGTGATGCTGGGGTGAACTTCCTCCGTACAGTGTCCTGGCCCCAAGTCTCCCTGCCCGACCCACCCCACTTGGGTCCTGGCCCTCTACCCATGATGCCTTGTGCCTTACCAGGACTGCTGCACTCCATGGTGCCGTTGGCAGCTGCGGAGCCCTCGGGACAGGCTGGGTAGCAGCGACCCTTGTGTAAGTACAAGCTCTCCTTACACTTGGTGCAAAAGTTGTGGCTGAAGCAGGCTTCACAGTGCTCAATCTTGCACTCTGAGGAGAGGACCAGATTGGGGCCCTGGATTTAGCCTGGGGTGGGGATTTCCTTTATCCCCAGAGCCCAACAACCCACGATCTTGTACCCACACAGGACAGGACCTGGAGCTCATCAAAACAGAGGAGTCTTGGGGGTAGGGGAGGAAGGGCAGAGGAAGGAGGCCAAAGTGGTCACTCTCGAGGGTGGGCTGAGACATCTGGTCAGTCTACCCTAACCCAAACTTGACCCCAGGCTCTGGAACCTGAGGTGAGGCCCATGGAAGGGGATATTGGAGGGGGAGGGAGGACTGGGGGAGGAAGGAGGAATGTTACAGCATCTTATGATATCCCAGTGGTGAACTGAGGCACACAACAACCCCTTCTACCGCTGAGCATCGACAGCTCAAATCCTGGATCCCAGGCTGCTCAGAGGAGGGGGAGCAATCCCAGGACAAATTCCTCTATCTCTGCAAGACCAAGGTCTAGGAAGCAGCTTGGTTGGGCTCCTGGATCCCTCCCTGTCAGCTCTCACTCCTCCTGGGACGTGGAGGTGGGTGCTGCACACAGCTTGGCTGGAAATAGGTAGGGACTTTCACAATCTCTCCCTTCCCAGACTGGGGGTGGGGCTGCCTTCCTCCCCACTGCTGGCACCTGAAGTCAGTGCTGCCAGTTTCTTAGCACTGCCAGAACTCCCTACTCCAACACCTGAGGACCAAGAGGACAACCCCAGGATCCCCATGCCAGCTTCTCAAGCTCCTCAACCTTCTAGCTTCTGGGGCGTTACTTCTGTGTCACCTTTCTCCCTCCCTGATGCTCTGCTTCCTGGGTTAGGTTATAGGTAAAATAAGAACAAAAGTAAGAAAAGCAGCAACCACCATTTATTGAGTGACAGACACTAGGGGCTGACACCCAGGGGATCAGAGCTAGCACTCCCATTTTAAAGGAAAGGCTTTGAGAGGTTGAGACACAATCATCTAGTGAGTTCAGTGAAAGAGTTGAGATTGGGACCCAAGTCTGTTAGTCTTGGGCCAGTCATTTGGGGAAATTATGTTATTATAATTATGTTATCACTTTTGTCCTGTATCCCTCCAAAGGCTGTTGTGAGGCGCCAGTGATATGAGAGCTGAGACTGCATTCTAAACTCCAGGGCACTGAGCACGTGGGACAGGGTCTTGGTACAGTTCACTTGAGTGTGCTCACTGTATGTCTTCCTGAATGCCACCATTCTGACTACAGAGATGGGGATGGAAAGATGACAGCTTATGTGAGGTGCTGGTGCATGGAGGGGAAACAGGAGCCAAGTGAGCGGACTGGCAGGAGAAGAGGGTTCTTCCATCTCAGGAGCAGACTGAGTAGACAGACCCAAGTCAGTGTGGAGCCTGCAGTGGTTTGTGAGCCGAAATGTCATGAGATTGACTGTGTGTCCCAGATACATCCTTCTAGTTGCAGTGTGGAGGGTGGGTCAAAGGGAACCTGATGGGAGTTTGGTGACAAGTGATCAGGCAGTGCTCCAGGAAAAAGGTGAAAGGAGCCTGGTGACACAGTGGCAGTGAGGACGGAAAGGAGATGCACTAGAAACAAACCAGGATTCGGGATCAGGTGGATTGCAGGGGAGAGGTAGGCTCTCAAGTCTGTGACTGGGGTAAGGGAGGGACTTAGACACTGAGAGGAACCTGTGGAAATACAGGTAAGCATGGATTTGGAGGGAAGAGATGGGGTTCTGAAATGGGCATACTGGGTTGGAACTGAGGAGCTGTCTGGGCCAGGAGCTGGATACCTGAATCAGGAGCTCAGGCTGCATGCATAGGGAGCTCAACATCCCCTCTCCTCTTCCCACAGATACCAACAACTCAAAGCACCCACCCCAGGACCCAGAGCCCCCACACACTTCCCTAGCCCTGTCCACACTCACTGATGCACTTGTTCAGGTCCGGATTGCGGGCATCAAAGTATCCAGGCGGGCAGGATGGCAAGCAGATGCCCACCTGGCGGATGTCATTCCTCTCCAGCAGGATAAACAGCTTGGGCGAGCACTTGAGGCAGCCGTTGACCTCAGAACAGAGCTCACAACCCTTGGCACAGGCCTGGTTCCCCTCAGGACTGACTGCAGGATGGAGTAAGGTCAGGAGAAGACCACAGGAGAGACCCCTTCCTTCCCAGGCTCCCACAAGGATGGCAGTGGAGTCGATTGGAGTTTGATTTAACAGCTCTGGCCTTCTCAGAAAGCACAGGCAAAGCCAGCAGTTTTCTGCAAGGCTGGGCTATATACCAATCCAGTGTTCTCTACTAGGAGTCTTGGTATGGTGCAGTGGGTTAGTACGCAGGATTAGAAAGCTGCTTTGATCTGCAAGGTTGGTGCTTCAAGATCACCAGCTGCTCCTCAGAAACCCTATACAGGGTTGCTATGCACTAAACAACAACAATCCTTTATTAAGGAACAGCACATATGTCTGGGACAAGAGCTTCCATGCATCTCACCTGCTGCCCTGGCTTCATGTACAACAGAACCTTACCTTGCCCCACCAGCCCCAGAGCAAGAGGGATTGTGTCCTTCCTGGACCTTCTCCTCTGCTCCCCAGAGGAAGTGAAGTCCAGCTCTCATAGAGAAGGAAACTTTTTCCCACTTGAGAAAGTTTTAAGGATAACAGGGAAAATGTATCAACCTATCTGAGAAAAGGACCACCTATCCAGAAACCATAAGAGGACTGGAATAACAATGTCTAGGGGTCTTGGGGTGGTGCTGTGGGTTAATGCGCTGGACTGCAAAGTTGGTTTGAACAGCAAGGTCGGTGGTTCAAGCTCATCCGTTACTCCTTGGAAGCCTTATACAGGATCACTATGGGTTGGAATGGACTCAATGTCACTTAACAACAATGGACATTTCTGATTATTACAAATGGAGGAGGAAAATACTATTGGCATCTAAAGGGTAGAGAGGCTAGGGATGTTGTTAAACATCCTCTGATACACACAACAAGAATTAGCTGGTCCAAAATGTCAATGGTACTGAGGTTGAGAAATTCTGGTTTAGAAGTATTTCTTGGGGCAATGTCATCTCCAGCTGCAGCATGGAGTTTCAAACCTTTGATCTCATTTGATTTCCTCATTCACTTGTTCAACCAACACTCATCTAGCCCCTCCCGCAGACCAAGTTCAGCATGAGTGCTGGAGACAGAGACAAGGAAGCCCAACCTCTTTGTAGTGCAATTGATCTTCCTGTGGAGTAGACAGATCCACAAACACACAAGTGCTGACAGCTACCAGGCCAAGCAATAGTGGGCCCATAAAAAAAAAAAAAAGAGGAATAGGTTTCATAAAAGAGGTGCCAATTAAGCCAACTCTTGAAGAACTGGTAGAGTTGTGCGTTCTTCCATGGAGATAAAAGGTTCTCTAAGGAGTAGGACCACAGAGATGTAAAACAGCCCAATTCTACAATGCAGGCATTTGGAGGTGAGATGGGGAGGGGAGTGCGAAAGATAAGGTATCCAGATCTTGAAGAGCCTCGTATGTTATGCTAAGGAGCTTGAGGGGCCCCTGGGAGATACAAAGGGTTAAGTTGGCTTAGCTGCTAACTGAAAGGTTGGAGATTTGAAAGGCCTGGTGATTTATTTCCAAAAACATTGTTTAATGAGGAAATTCAAGCCAGAAAGATAGAAGACAGCAAAGAATGGAAAAAAGAAAGGAGAAACACAGCCAAGAGAATCAAAGAAAGATGCTGTATCTTATCATCAAAGCCCAAGCTCCTTTCTTATCTTGATTATACTAATAAATATAATTTATAAGTAAAAATACAGAAACAAAAAACCCTATGGAGTACAGTTCTACTCCGACACACATAGGGTCGCATTGAGTCCGAGTCAACTTGAGGGAGCTTTTAGTCTGATCCTATGCCATAAGAGTGTTCCTTGGGGAGAAGAGCACAAGCAGAGTGTAGGACCCTATCCAGAGAAGCAGCAACACCAGAGATGGAGGCAAAGATGAAGACATGGAGAGAGGGAGCAGCTGAGGACTCTAGACTCATGGAAAGAGAGGGACTGGGTGTTGGCAGCCAGAAGGCAGGCTTGCAGAATATGCCCTTTGGTTGTTTAACTTATTATAATTCCTGAGTGTTTTTGTGTACATCCCCCTCTCAAAAAGTAAAACAAAAAACAGAGGGAATGGAAGCAAATACTGTTGAATGATGATACGTGAAGGGGATTGTAATCATTGCAATGAAACGATGGTGTAAAGCCAGTGTTCTCCCATGTAAACTATCACTCAGTTCATGATAAAAACTTACAAAAGAGTGTTCCTCGGAATATGATTCTCCCAAATCTTAATAGGAGGCTATGGAGACAAAGGGAAAGCCAAACAAATCTAAGCATATTCTTCACCGAAGGGCTTTCTCCCAGCTTTTATGAGGCTTCTGTGCAGAGGAAATATCTAAGAGGGGGACAGAAAACAAAAAGCAAACTTTTTGCTGTCGACTTGATTCTGACTCACAGTAACCATAAGGGACAAAGTAGAACTGTCTTCATGAGGTCAGCTTGAATCGCAAGGTCAGTGGTTCAAAACTCACCAGCTCTTCCTCGGAAACCCTACTATACAGGGTCACTGTGAGTTGAGTTGGAACCAACTCGACGCCACTTAACAACAACCCCACCACCTATATGGACGCAGACTACCATCTCTTTCTCATGTGGAACAGCTGGTGGGTTCGAACTGCCGAAGCTTTTGGTTAGAAGCTGAGCTCTTAACCACTGCACTACCAGGCCTCCCTAGAGGGGAGCAGGACGAGGTGCATTTTCCACAAGATTTTGGTCACAGAGATTTTTTTCTAGGGACAGGTATCCCTCAAAGCTGTTTAGACAACTGAGAGACATTGAAATGTTTTAAGCAGGAGTGAGAACTGGTGGTGGAAAGACCCCTCTGGCAGCAGGGGTAGAGACCCCAGAATAAGGACACGTGAGAGGAAGTTAAGGTGACCTTTCAGTTAAGAAAAGGGGAAAAAAACATTCAACTTAGTAGAAACAGAGCAAAAAACAAAACAGGTTTAAGAGATGCTTCAGAAATACAATCAACTGACCATGTTGATCAACAGGAGAAGTGTGAGATGGGAAGGAGTCTGGATGAGTCCCAGGTTTCTGGCCCGTGGGATGTGCGAAGGGTAGGACAAGTCACTGAAAGAAGCCCATGAGAAGGGAAGAGAGCTGGGAGCAAGAGGAGTGGTTAGGAGCCACTTGTCAACAAGTTGATTCTGACTTGGTGACCCCTATGTTACAGAGTACAACTGCTCCATAGGGCTTTCTTGGCTGCAGTATTTACAGAAGTCAAACACCATGCCTTCCTTCTGCGCTGTCACCGAGTGGTCTCGGACCACCAACTTTTGGGTTAGTAGTCGAGCACAAACTGCATGCACCGCACAGGTGGGTACTCTTATTATCATCCTTATTTTTGCAGAGGCAGGATTGGAGAAACTAACTCCTCGACCAAGGTTTCACAACCAGTGTGTGTTCTAGGTCAAGAGAATAAGGTGTCTGAAGGCCAGCGGTAGGACAGTATGAGGTGATATGGAACGAAAGGATGGCTCAACTGATGATTTTTAAATATTAGAATTCATTTGTATACAATCAGTTTGACAATTTAATTAATAAAGAATTAATATCATTCTTGTTGATTTAGTCACTGTAAAAAAAAAACAAAAAAAAAATTCCAGATGTGATGTTAAAGTTACCAGAGTTCTTGGCAGTACTTTTCTACTTTGGGCCTTTATTCAAATATACTACAAGTTAACAAATTCTTATAGATTTTCAGTTCCACTTCCAATTAAAATCCTCTATTATTCATACTGATTTTACTTAATTCATTGTTGAAATGTTTGTGCCTTAGTTTCAGTAAATGAGGAACATCAGGTACCCACTTTGCAGGTTCTTCATGGAGTCAAGGACATGGGCAGAGGAAGCTGGCCACTTGGGGCTCAGACATTACTAGTTCAGCGTGGATAGATCAGAGAGGGAATGGTCAGAGACAAAGCTGGAGAGGGAATCAGGGTGTTGAGCCTGCATATAGGAGCTTAGACATTATCCTAAAGGCAAGAAGGAATCCTAAGTGGGGGGCAGGGGGTGAGGATGGGGTGGGTGGTGTCTAAAGCAGAAGACAGGATTGAGATCCCATTTTAGAAAGATCACTTTGTAGCATGGAGAATGGATTGTAAAGGAGAGTAAAAGTAGAGGCCAAGAGACTCTTTAGGGGCAGCTGTGGTTGTGGTGGCGGCGGTGGTGGTGGTGTGTTGTGGAATCAATTCCAATTCATAGCAACTCTGAATAGGGTTTCCGAGGCTGTAAATCTTTATGGGAGCAGAAAGCCTCAACTTTCCCCTGCGGACCCTCCAGTAGTTTTGAGGTAACACTATGCTACTAAAACTCCTTAGGGGGCAGCTATAGAATCCTCAATTAGAAGTTGTTACAGATGGAATTATGTCTCATCAAAAGACACAAAGAAGTACTAATCCCTGCACTGATAAACATGACTTTGTTGGGAAATAGGGTCTTGGAAGATATTGATTCTGGCTCATCACAACCCTGCATGACAGAGTTTCCTGTCCTGTTTCCTAGGCTGCAGTTTTTACAGGAGCAGATCACTAGGTCTTGTCTCTCATAAAGAGACTGGTGGGTTCAAACCTCTGACCTTTGATTAGCAGTTGAGTGCTTAACCATTACATCACGAGGGCTCCTTTGGAAGATGTTAAGAGATCAGTTAACATGTTTATCAGAATAGAGTGGGTCCCAATCTCATATGAATGGCATACTGATAAAGGGAAGCAACAGAGAGAAGACAGCCATGTAACATAAGGATGATTTAGGCAGCAGCTGCTAGGAATTCCTGGGGTTACTAGAAGCCCTCACAGCCTTTAGAGAGAGCATAGCCCAGCCATCACCATGATTTTGGACTCTTCACCTCCAGAAGTGTGAGATAAGAAATTTCTGTTCGAACCAATCGCTCAATTTGTGGTATTTTGTTATGGCAGGTTCACAGACGTGAAGGAGTTGAACCAAGAAGTAGTCTGAGAATGAAAAGAAGACCTATGTAAGATACTCAGCAATGAATTGGATGTGGGAGTGAGGG